TGGAGGATTCCTGCGTTAGTCTAAGTGCCTGTGATTTATTCACTTACTGGGCAGCATAATACACTCATTCCCTTCCTCTGTCATTTCAAAAACCCAGTGTACTTCTATTACTTGGTTACAATTACAACTCTGCCTTTTACTGAACAGAAACATTGCAGTAATTGTGTATTAGCTCAGCTTCTATTTCATTAGCCTATTCCATTGACCTTATTTTCCCATGTATCCTGCTTCAAATTTCCACTGATATGTGGTTTTAAACATCCTTAATTTTTGCATCAAATTGTTTATCCTTCCTAGCACACGTGCACGTACAAAATCTCCAAAGTAAGCTTTGTGCAAAGATGTCACGAAACACAGGAAGTAACTCTTTTCTAGCCCTCCCATACAACTTGGTTCCTTTGGGGCCTAAGTTACTGACTTGATGGGAATCTCACCCAGCTTTTCCTGAAGTCCATCACCAAATTCTCTGTGTATTTTACTGATCTTGAACAAAAACAGCTTCGGAAGCAGGAGTTTACCTTACTTGTCTCCTCAGCAATAAAGATAATCAAAACTAACTTCTGGAGAAGTTGTTGACAGAACAATAAAACCTAGTAAAAGTGGGGATGAAACATGCAACTCCTCTAAAAATAACATTTTATCCAAACTGTTACAAGAACTTCTTTTACAAGGAAATTATTGCTTTGCTAAGCAACCAGACTGTAGCTCCACAACAGCCCAGTCGCTCACCTCTGTCAAAAGAGCACCCAAAGGCTCTGGGCCCCAGCCTGCCCAACAGAGGCACAAGGCTCTGCTCCTTTACATGAATGTAAACCAGAAGTGACAGCGCTGAACTGCTCATGTTGATGTCCAGAGACCAGTCTAAGCCTGCAGAACACAGAATGTAAGGGCGCTACTGACAGCAGAGCGCAGAGTGAGACGAAGGGGCAGCTCAGCACAAAAACATTTTAATCGGGAAAGATATGACCTCTGCAGAATACTTCTCTGCGTGAAGTCCTACTCTTATGTTTTAAGCCTTTATGCCTTCGGCCTGTATGGTCCATATAGCCTTCAATAAAAGTTTTTTTCCAATCCAAAAAAAAAAAAGATAGTGACATTTTCAGTGCACCTTATACATTATTGCAAGCTGACAAAATGGCACAGTAAGGTTTCACAGTCACCACATCCTGCTACTATGCACATGAAAAGCACCACAGGAAGATATTCTTTTCCAGCTTGTAAGCCAACAGCTTTCCAAACTCAATCAAAATCCTGTAATTCAAATTGGCATCTCTCCTTCTTGCATATCATCACCACTAATAAAATGTTTGTGTGCCAGAGTAGGTCTCTAGTGAAACCTCTGCAACCTCACTGTTTCCATGGATTTATTGAATGGTCCTTTAATTTGAATGTAGAGCCAAAATATGCATATGTATCATCAAGAAAATAATCTAGCCATGACGAAATGCAGCCATGGCCATGAGCGCCAAGGGAACTGGCCCAAGTCATTTTAAGGCCACTCTTAATTACATTTGAGAGGTTGTGGTGTTCAGAAGTTCCTGAGGATCCAGGAAAACACAAATGCCACTTCTACCTTCAAGGACAAGAAAGAGGAACTACAGACCAGTCAATCTTACCTTGATCACTGCAAATAAACTTGGAAATATTTCCAAACATATAAAGGACAAGAGTGCGATTGGAAGTAGTCTGCACAGATTTCCAAATGAGGGAGGATCATGTCTGGCCAATCCAATATCCTTCTATGACGAGTCACAAGGCTTAATCATTTTTTTTTCAGACAAATTAAACTCTGTTTTCCTGAGGTTTAGTATGACAGTAGTGGCAAAGCTAACCCAATTTACCGTGGAGAGAACTTGCAATGACTGTAGACAAATTCCCAATAATACAGTAAATGGAAAAACAATATCAAAAAGCTGCTTCTCCAGAGCTCATTTGAAGGTAGTGGCCCAGCCACCTTCCTCTCATTTCCCTTAATAGGTTAGCAGAACAGAAGTTCACATTTGTTATCATAATGATATTGTGTAATGCTACCATTAGACTCCTACGCTAAAACATGCAGAGAGAGTGAGAAAAGGGTAATGCAACATTGTTCTGATTATCCTATTTGTTTGAGACGTAACTTAAATGCATCACCAAACAAATTCTATTCACTGGGATGTAAAAAGACTTCACATCTCTTTAAATTACAAAACGACAAATACTCTGCAATCCTGCTTCCACAAATGCTAAGACTTAGAGCATTCATGAAAATGGTTTCTTAGTAAGTATAATGACAAATGCAAAATGGTAGCACATAAATGATGTAAAAAAGTTAATTTATAGGTTTAGCTCATGTTTATTTGAATATGCAAAAAAAAAACCCACACCTCTTCATTGAATTTCTATGAATGCAACATACATACCACAGTACAACAAAACGAATGCATCAGTGTTGTAGAAAAGCATTTGCACTAACATACTTGGCAAAAACAGCTTAAATTAGAAAGCCATTAAAAATGCAAAGCCTGCATATACAGCCTCTTTCAGAATTTTTCCACTTTTGTTATTCAACTTACACATTTTACCAACATATTTCTGTCAGTGCTTACTAAGTGTGCATGTTACACCCTCCTGCTAATAGTAAATGAAACAATTCAAACTGTTGGATTTGTGTTCAATGACTTATAAATGTCAGCTCTTCATTACTCACTCTGTAATTCAGAAATTAGTTCTGCTATTAATCCACACAAAATAATATCAAATCTTAAGCGATGGCAAATGATTAGTATCCACACTCAAGATTTCATGTCAAAAGTTGCATCGGCCAAATCACTGCAGAACTAAGGACCAAGTCTGCTTACAAGGAGCAAGCTTGGTCCCAGTGGAAGGGCTTTTCTCCTACGACTTTTCTCCTGTCTCCTAGACAAAAGCAGGATAGTCAGAATATGAGTGAAACCTACACATCAAAGTCTAAAAGAAAAAACAAACAAAACAAAAAATAACATCATGATGACAGTTGATGAGTTTGAATCTTATCCCAGACATTAACGTATTTGTGACTAAAGTTTGCAGGTTTAAAATCAATTTCTACCTTACTGTTGCTTTACATTCAGTATCATTTGGGAAAACTGTTTACTTGTCTTTGTCTCTACAACATGAGAGCCATTATAATCCCTTGTTGGTATTTTTTTAGAATAAATATCTTTTCTGAAAATATAAAATCAGCGTGGGCAATCTTACAGTACTTTTCCTCATTTGGTCCCATCTGCAATTTTCTGAATATGACACACTTGTTCAGAGTAAACAGCTGTTAACTCCTGCTAAACGTGTTAACAAGCTTTAAAAAAAAGACAGCATAATGAAGATATTTCAACAGCCTACAGGAGACTATGTGTAATAGATTTTCTCATTTCAACACAAATGAAACATAAAAGACACTTGCAGAGGCCTTGAGTTTTAACTTGCAAGACATTTCAGAACAGGAATTGTTCAGGGAAGTTTGTTATACTTTTGTAATCCTACTTACCTTGTTACTCTTGCCAGCTTAGCTGTTTTCTACGGACTATTTTTCTCTGGCATCTCCTTAGTATTCTGCCTAACTTGAAGACTGCGCACTGCATCTGTGTTACCAATGAAAATAAGAGATGCGTTCTTTTAATTCCATACAATTTCCTGAACAGGACCTTTTTCACAAATTCCCATGGTCCTTATTCTCTGTCACTAAAAAACACATCGAGACTCACAGGCACCACAATAATCCCTTCCAAGGCCACCTGAGCCATCACTTATGAGTACAGGTCACCAAACCATGACTAAACCTTACTTCCTCAACTACTAAATATTGCTTTATTTGCATTCCCATTGCAAGGTAATTCACTACTTTATGACCATTTCAGGCCAACTGGACTCAAATTTCACCCCCAGCAGCCTCCATGTTTCAATTCTTAACAGAGCTTAAACTTAAAAACATTGGGATGACTTACAGAAGCACCGGAAAGTCTCTTCCACTCATTTAAAAGCAGGGCTAGTGATATCAAGCAAACTGCAGATTAACAGAGATTGATTTAACATGTAAGTTCTCGAGAGAACGAGTTTACAAATGCAGAACATGACGCTGAAATCAGTCACTCTATCAAGCACATTTACTGAGCAGGCTGAGCCCCCGGGGATAAACATGTCTCTCTTGGAAGCTGTGCTTTGCCGGAGCTGCGAAGACTGATCCCGCGTTCAGCCTCAGAGCCGCATGCGAAGTGGGCTGGGGTGGGGTGGGGTGGGGTGGG